GAGCCTGAGGAAGTTCAGGCCACTTCCCATCCCCGCTCTGCTGGGTGACCCCTCCTTGGGCAGTGCCTCTGAGACAGAGCTGACCTCACCCGCCCACAAGGGCCCGAGTCTGCTCAGAGGGAGCCTGCCCACTCATCTGAGAGGTGCGCTTGTGCCTGGCAGGAGGCAGGTCAGGGGGTGCAGAATCCGGAGAGGCCCAGAGGGCAGCCCGCTGTGCCCTGGTGAAAGGCAGGGGCCAGGGTGTCAGGGGCCAACCCTGGGGGCTCACCTCTCTGTTTTGGGATTTTCAACTTTTTATGATAAAGGGGTGGGGGGGGGGGCACTGACTGCCCTCAGCTGCAGATGAAGCTATTGTAACTTTAGAATAATAATGTGATTATTTACTTTAGAATAAGAATTATTAGCATGTATACTAGTAGTATGCAGGTTTATATGAAATTAAACACAAACATAACACACACACACACACACACACACACACACACACACACAGCCTATGAAGCAGGGGCCGCTCAGTGCAGGTAAGGACACTGCAGCTTAGCAGGTGCTTGAGATGGCCCAGAATGTGCATGTCCTGAAGACAGAACCTGTGAAAACGTCATCTTCAATGGCAGAGAGAGAGAGAGAGAGAGAGAAAGAGAGAGAGAGAGAGAGAGAAACAGAGCAACACTGAATGAGGGAGACACATTACATATGCCCTGACCTGGGATCAAACCTGCAACCCAGAGGTGGGAGATGACCCTGGATTGTCTGGGCAGATCTAACGCAGGAGCTCTTAAAAGCAGAGAGCGATTGGCCGGTGGCAGAGAAATTTGGCCAGAGGGTGACATCAGAGAGCTTCAAGTGCGCCAGGGACCAACAGGTGGGTGTTGGTTTGGAGATGCAGGGGCCACGGGCAGGGCCTCTGGAAGCTAAGGAGGGCCCAGCCAACAGCCAGAGGAAACAGGACCTCGGTCCTACAACTGCAGGAACTGGATTCTGCCAAGGACCCGAAGGAGTTTGCAGCGGACCCCACCTCCACCCCTCCCAGCTCCGGGTAAGGGCCCGCCCAGCCGACACCGACTTCAGCCTCTGTGCCCAGGAACAGACGGCTTGGTCCAGCCCACTTAGACGCCCACTCAGATCTAAAGAAACAGTGAGATGATACCTCTATGGTGTTTCAGCCACTAAGTTTGCAGTAACTTGTTCTGGTGACCAGAGAC